CAACAAGACCATGATGGAGACAATAATGGGGATGAAGATAAAGATGTATACAATGATGAAGAAAAGCAACAAGACCATGATGGAGACAATAATGGGGATGAAGATAAAGATGGGGACCATGATGTATACGATGATGAAGAAAAACAACAAGACCATGATGGAGACAATAATGGGGATGAAGATAAAGATGGGGACCATGATGTATACGATGATGAAGAAAAAAAAGACCATTTGGCCATCTCTACCAGGATTCTGGCCGCTAATAAAGCTTCAGACACAATTCTGGTGGAAGGAGACATGGTGGCTCCCAAATCTAGAAATGCTATGAAGTGCTTCTCCTCCAACAGCTGCCTGTGGAAACAATCCGCCGATGGATTAGTGACGATCCCCTACGTCATAGGCAGTGAGTTTGGTGCTCACGAGAAGCAGGTAATCGAGGGCGCCATAAAGGTCTTTGCTAAAGAGACTTGCATCCGCTTCACCCCTCGCAAGAGTGAGAGTGACTACATCAACTTCGTGAGCAAAACTGGGTGTTACTCTGAATTGGGCAGAAAAGGAGGAATGCAGGAGCTGTCGCTCAACAAGCTGGGATGCATCTATGGTGGAATCGCCCAGCATGAGATGAACCACGCTCTGGGCTTCCAGCACGAGCAGACCAGGAGCGACCGTGACAAATACGTCAAGATCAACTTTGAAAACATCACCCCATCAACCGCCTACAACTTTGAGAAGCATGACACCAACAACCTGGACACTCCCTACGACTATAGCTCCATCATGCACTACGGAAAAGACGCCTTCTCCGTCGCCCCCGGAAAGGACAGCATCACCCCCATCCCCAACGCCAACGTCCAGATTGGCCAGAGGAATGGACTGTCCAGCTTGGACATCAAAAGGATCAAGAAGCTCTACGGCTGCAAATAACAACAACATTGATGCTAAATAAAAATGTGATTTACATGCTGAGGTGGCAAAATATATCACCTCTCATGCCTGAAATATATTCAATAAAGATGCTGCAAAATGATGTTTGCCTCCTTACTCTTCTGTCTTTGTGTTCAGCAGAAGCTGCTCACCTATACACATTGTCATGGCACAAAAAGGTTAACTGACCAAATTGTAAACTTGCTAAATGAAAAAACAAGTTAGCTAACTTACAATTGAGAAATACAGATCCATACAAAAGAACTCGACCTGCCACGTAAACATAACTGAATGCAGTTTTATTAAAAACAAATTACAGCCCTGTAACATGCTGTTTTTATTTCAGAAACATTGTCAAGCTAACTAGCATAAACATTAGCTTATTCTTGTTAGGTCATGCTCTGGCTTTACAATTTGTCATGTGGAAACAGCTCAATCTAAATTAGAGTTAGGTTTTCAACAAACCCACAAATTTAAATGTTCTTGTATTTATATCTTTTAAAAGGTCAAATTAAATTATGGTTGAAATACTAAACTACTAGATAAAAAGGTCTTAACAAAGCAACTTTGAGAAGACTTTAGGCGGGATTTGTAGAGAACAACCACACCTGTTATGGTTTGAGTCTGATCCAGGGAGCAGGCAAACATGAACAAACTATTTTATAAAAAATAAAAATAAAGGCAGATAGTGCAGCAAAAACAGACACAGAAGACAGAATATAGGGGTAACTAAATGAGGGGATGATAGAGAACACCTGGGAAGACACATGAGGCTCAGGTGAGTATGAGCCAGAAAGGAACACAGGGCAGGCTGAGGATAACACAAAGATAACACTAAAAATAGACAAACACAGATCCTGACCCCCACCACTAGTATATACAGTGTATTGATAAAATACTTATATACTAATGTCAATGGGCAAAACATAAACAAGAGAAATTTCAATTTAATTTCCCAGAAACTACAATGTCTAAACGTTTGTTTTTCAGCAGCATCTTGTTCATGTAAAGTAACAACATTTTAATATGGCAGCAAAGACCAAAGTGTATCTTTTTGTTTCAATAATTACTTGCAGAATGTGATTTATTACCTTGTCTTTCACTAAACACAAATTATTTATACACCTGAATCTTTGTAAATTTTAAGATGTGTAATATTCACAGAGTGTCTGGTTCAAAACAAAACAACACAAAAGGCCATCCTGAGACGATTGTGTTGTTATTGAAGTCGATTTGCATCTCCTCTGTCCATCAGAGCCGTTGGAGGTTTGTTGCCTTGGGCTCTGCTGGATGAAAGACTTTGAACTGCTCCAGGAGGACACAGTTGTCCCACAGGCTCTGGACAGCAGCCCATAATACACTTTGTTTATGTAATTTACACCGAAGTGGTGTTGTAGGGTGTCCTCATCATCAAAATCAAGCTTATTGCAAGAAACTGTTGACTGGATAAAATACATTTGAGAGGTCCAAGTTTTTTCTAAAACTTAAAGGCCTATAAGACCAAACATAACCTGCCACCAGAGGTTTATACAAAGATCATTTTATGTTGAGAAATTACACAAATACAGTTACTTCAGTCAAACGTTGATAATAAAGTCTCACTTAATACATTGAGATCTCTCTAAACCTGTTAGCAATCAGAGTGCGAGCTGAGATGATTCTCAGCTTCTACTGCACTAAAGTTGAGCTCAGTATCTACAAATATTTACTGTTAGCATTAGTTTTGTTAGTGACAGTAGATTAGCTGTGACGGCTGTGCTGACTCTGAATCAGTTATATAGTTACAGAACAAAAAGAAAAGTTAATACTTAATCTTATTTATTGTTGACAGATAATTCATAACTATTAGACTTGACAAATGAACTTCACTATTAACTTCAGCTGACTTTTACAGAAGAGGGTTAGGGCCACAGGGCACAAAATAAATATATATTTTCCTGACTTTCAAGATTTAAATTTGAACTTTGTGCCCAATTCTCTTTTGTAGACTTTATATTTAGGTAATACACAATACTTTTTTATTTTAGCCTTTATGCTAAGCCTGGAACTTAATACATATTTAAAAAAATTAAAATTTTATGTATGTATGTATGTATGTATGTATGTATGTATGTATGTATGTATGTATGTATGTATGTATGTATGTATGT